TGTAATGACTTAGAATATCCTTGATTCATTACACACAATTAAGTACTTTGTTATGACTGTGTGTGAACCATGGATTTCCCTTCTGCATTTCAAAAGACGTATCAGGTAATCTAAAAAACTATAATGAGCACATATTTATGTAAAATCCTGTTTGTGATTAAAAAAAAAATGGGAAAATCTTGCTAATCTATATGCATAGGAGAGCAATTTTGTTTATATTTATACTTTTCAAGTTTCTTTGCCAGAAGGCAAGATAGCACATGATGGATTCTTGTTGTTTTGCCCACGTGGTTAGTGATAAGGATAATGACTTAATAAATTTGTGTGACATAAAAGTATGTCATGTTCTACTATTTGACATTATCCCTTCCCTTTTCTGCGAAGGTACTATTGGCTGGAAGTAAAACATTCTGGTTAGTTTTATATGATAGTCTCCCCTATGTAGTTTTTCTATTAAAATTGGTTTTGTAATCACGAATGGTAAAGGGTGGGTTGAATCAGGGTAAAAGAATATTAAATTGAGCACACCTGCCTGCCACCGCTGTTCCTTCAACTGAGTGCTGCACACCATGGGCTCTGTCTGTGAGAGAAAAATCCCGGTGCTTGGTGTCTTTGCATGACATGGAGTTTTGCATGTAGATCAATTTAAAATGTACCTCTTGTTTACATAATTTGCATAATTTTAAAAGATGATGTTGCCAAACTTTGGAAATGTTAATATTCAAAATGAAAATCTCCACTACATGTAAGTACTTTTCTTCCTCTGGGTCAGTACGTGGCTTACAATCCCAGCCAGTGGCTTGATCTGTTCCAGTGTCAACTGCCATGTGCTCTGCTTCAAGAGGGAACTAGTCTTTTGTGAATTTTTTTGTACATAATTATTTGTTACAAATATTTTAGCAAATGCTTTCTATATCTCTTGCTTGTGCATATCTTGGCTGGCGTTGTGGGAAAAAAATAGTGCGAACTATTTCCTTACTGGGGAATGGGGGTTTTCTTTTTTTAGTTTGTGTGAGGGAGGTGGGGAGGGCATGGTTTATGTTGAATGTTTTAAATTTTCTTCTGCATGATACACATCATGTTGTGAAATCTTTAGAGAACTTCATACTGTATGAGTAATAAAATAAAATATTGGAAACTTGCTTAGATGTATTCTGTCATCTTTGATGCACTACTGTAATTGATAGTCCTCTCCATGCTTTATTGTTTATAAACTTTGATAAATTGTTTCATTGTTTTGAATCAGAAGCTACAAGTGAAATACTTGGAAAAACAAAAAAGCTGATGTTAAAAGCACCGTGACTCCACTTACATTTTTGGCCACACAGTCCTCTGACCTGGGCCTACTACAGTGCCTTTGGAGTTTTGTTTGCTTTTGTCTCTGACTTTTATGCCAATCCTATACCCAGTAATGCCTTTAGCACTTGGTTCACCTGTGTGTGTGTGTGTGTGTGTGTGTGTGTTGGGTCAAAAGAGGCTTTTCTGACTCTCCTGCTATAAAATGGAAGTACTCTTGGTTCTCTTTTACCCAGTCTTTCCTTTATTCAGTAGCCTCCTCTTCCGAGTATATTTTGTCTTCCTTGGTTATAGATTTAAAAAGTGCTTTTACACAATAGTGGTTTACTTGTGTAAAGACACTTTAGTTTTCAGAGTATCACCAGGGTTTCAGTGTTTGATAATTCAGGAAACAACCAGTATGTGACTCCTGGATAATACAGGTTGTAATTCATTTTTCTTGGTAAGTTTTCCCTCAACCAGGCTGGGCTTGACTTTTTGTAATCTTCCTGCCTCAGCTTCAGAGTACTGGGATCACAGACATGAATCACCACCTAGGTTACAATTTTATAAGTGACTGTTTTTGAGATTTGTTTTCTCTGTAGTTCTGGCTGCCCCGGAAGTTGTTTTGTAGACCAGGCTGGCCTAGAACTTAAGAGATTCCCTTGCCTCTGCCTCCCGTGTTGGGATGGATTAAAAGCCTGCACCACCATGCCTGACCTATTTTTGAAACTACTGCAGAATTCTTGTGTGTTCAGCACTGTAACAAGGTTGAGATATTCATGGCAGGTAAATGATGTTGCTTGCCCAAATGAGTTGTGGGATGTTGGGTATATTTATACCCAGAACATACATACTATGTAATCACAGGTTTCAAGATCATGTGCATTGAATTGTGGGCTCCTGTAGAGGATCCAAAGAGAAAGCACCTAAGAAAATGACTATTCAGAATGAAATGGAAACTTTAAAAAAAAAAAAAAAAGAGAGAGAAAATACTTACTCATTTGGGAAAAAAGTGATTAATAATCAAACCTTAACACAACAGCAATGAAACCTCATTAAAATATAAAGGACTTGAATAGACAGAGGAGAGACACAGGTGGCCATGAAGCACAGGAAAATGATGCCCAATATCACTGTCATTAAGGAAATGCAAGTCACAGAGAGATCCACTTTATAAGCATTAGGCTGTTGCTATTGTACTTCCTTGCCCACCCAAAGGAAAAAAAAATAGTATCAGTATTGGCCACCTCATTTGCTACTAGTGAGCACACAGGGACTCAGTTCATGGCAGCATTACAACAGCTAAAGACTAAAAGCAGTCCAAGTATTATGGAGATGGATGGGTAAACAACATATAAACACTATCCAAAGGAGGGGGAAATATCCCAACACCCATCTCTAACATGGATAAGTTGATGGGATAATAAAATTCCTAGAGACAAATGCAAAATGGTTTGTGCCAAGGACAACAGGAAAAAAAATTGAATTAGTGTTAAAAATTTGTACAGGGGTTCAGAAGACAGAATGTGGCTTCACATTAAATAGCTACTAAGTTGTAATCTAGTTAACATGGAAAGCTGTATTTCCAAAAAGAGGTTTTTTTTTTTTTTTTTAATTTTATGTGCATTGGTGTTTTGCTATGGTCTCCTGAAACTGGAGTTATAAAACAAGCATGAGCTGCCATGTGGGTACTAGGAATTGAACCTGGGTCCTCTGGAAGAGCAGTCAGTGCTTATAACGGCTGAGCCATCTATCTATCTAGCCCTCAAAAAGAACTTTTTAATGTGTACAATGTTTTAGAATGAATGATGTAGACAAGATGGTAAAAAAGGTTTTCTTTCTGGATAGTTCTCAGGGTGTACAAAGAAAATGGTGTTCAAGTTCATGTCTTGAGGTATTCATAAGTCTTCAAACTCCCCACTCTAGATTCACGTTGATTAGAACTCTGAATCCTGTGACCTTTCCCTTTCCTATCAGCTAACCAATCCTAATGGCTTGAGTTCTTTAAAAGTTCCTGGAGATTGTGGTTACTTTAGTCCAATACAGTGCTTACACAAGACAAGTACTTTGTGAGTGACAGGTCCTTTGCATTTCAGAGTGGCTATAATGTATCAGAAGTGTGTTGCTCCACTCATAATTCCGCTCTTGGACTAGCCCCACATGCTCAACAATCATTAACTTTCACCTTTAGACTAGTGCTAGCCAGGCACAGGCCCAAATCTTGTGGAATGTGTAAGAATCCCCAAGTTGTACCATAGAAACCTAGTTTACTAAGAAAATTCACTTCTCTTTTAACCCAATGTGTTAGTAACTAAAATAGAGTTAGAGTATCAAAAAGACCAGTTGGCCTTACAGTTAACAGGTGAGTCCAATGGCAGGGCAGTGCCACAGACACACTGAGGTTTCAGGTGGGCTGTAGTACACCCACACCGGAAATGTTAAGAGAGAAATTTGGTCCAGGTTGTTAAGATTTAACTACCAGCAAAATGCTCCCCTCTCACCCCCTCTCTTTGTTTTATTCATATCCTAAGAGTTACTCTCTAGTATTGTCGCCCTTTTGAATGCAGAGTAGTACTTGGAAGTAGGAAAACAAACACTTTAACATAGAATCTCAAACTTTCTCAGGTAAAAATTATGTTCTTAAATCTGCTTCCATTTCTTCAAATTAAACCCCAAACACTGTTATCCCTTAGTCATGGGTCACTTAAGACACTTAAAAAGGCATTAGAACCATAGACATCATTTCCCAGAAAGGCATGTGGTAGCTGTCATTACAATTTTTAATTCCCTCATTGGGCACAGTGAGAGTGGATCTGTACCTCCTAAGTGCTCTATGCATTCCAGAATAAAGAATTCACAATAAATTCCTCCTTTTAATGAGGTTTGATAATGAACACTCTCCTCTGGTGGAACACTCCAGAGAGCACGCCCAAGGTACAAAGCAGCTAGGAAAGCACTTCCCACTGATAAGAGGGAACCCAAGCTTAACAAAAATACTACTAAGCAGGGCATGATGGCACACTTGTAACCATGGTATGTTGAGGCAGTAGACTCCTAAGTTTGAGGCAAGCAGGACTAGACGGTGAGTTACAGGTCAGCTTGGACTAGCTACATATCCTGTCTCAAAAATCAAGAGGAGCTAGAGAGATGGCTCGATGGTTAAATGTACTTGCTGCTCTTCCAGAGGATTGGAGTTTCATTCCCATGCCTAGCACCCACATCAGGCTTACAACCATCTGTAAGTATAGCTAAGGGGAACGCTTATTCACACGACAGGATCATGTTTGCTCAAGCACATGCACCTGCACACAAAGTTCACATAAATAAAACTAAAATTTATTCTGGGTGTGGTGGTGTACACCTTGAATTGCAGCACTCAGGAGGCAGAAGCAGGGAGATTTCTTTGGGTTCAAGGCTAGCCAGGGCTATAAAGTGACCCTTCAAACACCCACACCATCTTTACTAGAGCCTGCTCAGTGGTGAACTTTCAGTCTTGGTCCCAGAAAACATGGTGACTCAACCTTATCTGTTTATTCCAGTTTAAGGGATCAGATTCCCTATTCTGAGGATATCAGGCGCATATATAATGCACATGTCTAGATATAGCAAATTTTAAAAAGTTAAAAATTTGAAGCTACTACTTTGTTTAGGTATTGCATGAATTTCCTGATACTCCAATCATCACAATATTTTGGTAAAGGCCTTTGAGAAACAAAAGAGACTGTAGTATCTAAATCTCATATTTAATGAAATAGGTTCTAAACAATATAAGAAATAAGCAAATTCATATACACAGACACGAGTTACAAGAATATACTGTTTGGAAAACATAATTTTCTTGGGAAAGCTGTTTTACTTTCATTACTTATTTGAAAAGTAATTCATTAGCCTTGTGATGCAGGGCTTTCATTTCATAAAATACACTGAGTGGAAGATGAACACATAAGGTTCAATAGTGCAGACTACTGTTATGACCCAACCCTGAAGCAGTCACAGTGCCCTGTACCAAGAACTGTGATTCACAGGTCTTCAGAGATTTTAATTAAAAAAATGCTCACAAGTTTAGTTACAAATCTGTCTTAAGAAGTTGCCTCTAAATGGCAAGATTTTAAACTGTGAGTCTGTCCCATGTGATTTAAAGTGAAAAAGCAATTTACACGCAATGTGTTAAGTATTAACAGTATTTCATTTTCATATTTAAATTATTCTAGAAGCAGTAGAGTACAAGTCCTATTAAACCATCCCCTTCTGTTCCTGCTTGGGCTGAGACCTAAAAAAACAAAAAATCCTGAGCTGTAGTCGGCTGGGAAATCTTCCCATGGTTTTATGAAAACATCTTAAAGGTTGGAGGGGAATCAGAACCGGTCTGCTGATCTGCTGGCCACAGCTCGGATATTGCCATAAACCTTTGATGGAGGATTTCCTGTTTAAGAAAAAAAGCAGCTTACATATACAAATATATTCAAACATGAAGAACTACATAGAAAACAAATACTTTGCATTCCTAAGAGAAATCAGAGTTGTGAAAACAGTATTTCACAAAGAAGCCAGCCAGCCCTGAACACCAGTGAAACCCACCCCCCCTCAGTCCTCTGAGAAAGATGCAATGACTCTAGAACTAGATCCAATTAAATCAAGTTGACTGCATGTGTTCAACAGTCCCCATTCTATAGAACCTAAAATGTTCTCTTATTTTGGAATGGTTTGTCTGTGTACTCCTTAGGGAAAGCAACAGAGATTTTATGGTATTACCCAATAAACCCTTTCTCTTCTCTAACAAATGGAATCTAAGTAAAATATTACTGTTTTTCCCTTTGCCAACTCTTCAACTTCTGTTGGGTATCGTTAACAATATGAAAGCAGCTTTGTAAATGTGCCCTGAATCCCTCTGACATAAACTGCTATTACCTAGGATGAGGTTGCAGATGGCAGTCCTTGCCATCTTGATGTTCTGGAAAGAGCCGAGAATGTGAACTTTCCTGAAAGAGATAAATGAGTAAGGTTAGCCATGAAAGGCATGTTTATGCCAAAACCAGGGAACTAAAACTCTGGGAATGACAACAGATCTATATTAGAAACTGAGGGACCTGGGTGATGGCCTACAACTTTCTAAATCTTATAAAATCATTTCGAAAATGAGTGACTTGTGGTATAGGAATTACATATATATCCCCCACCCCACCTCAAAAAAAAAAATTACCAAAAAGACAAATAATTAAGAACAAATTTTAGCCGGGTTGTAGTGGTGCACGCCTTTAATCCCAGCACTCTAGAGGCAGAGGCAGGTGGATCTCTGTGAGTTCGAGGCCTATAAGAGCCAGTTCCAGGACAGCTTCCAAAGCCACAGAAGATAACCTGTCTCAAAAAACTGGAAGGAAAAAAACAACAACAAATTTTAAATTCCTTTCTTTTTCTTGGCAGTTTTGCAGTGTTACCCAGTCTGGTCTAAATACACAGTGATCCTCCTACTTGCCTCCTGAGGGCTGAGATTACAGGCATGTGCACCATTTCCACATTCCTGGTCACAGGCAGGGAGAGATGGTTCAGTATGTAAAGGTACTTGCCACCCAGCCTGACAACCTGATTTTGATCCCTGAGGCCCACTTGCCGGAAAGGAGAGGACTAACACCCACAGGTTGTCCTTTGCCCTACATTCAGGTGCTATGGCACATGACCCACACAAATGCAAACAAAACAATAAAGACTACTGCCCAATAGTTGCTCTCATCTAGTGAGTCCTCCATATTTACTCATGCAGTCCTTAAAGGACCATTCCCAGGTAGACATTATTCCTGCTGTTTACAAAGGAACAAACTTTCAAGTAACCGGGAAACTTAGGGCTGGAGCTCAGAAGCACAAACTCTGCCTAGCTTGAGGCCTTGGAATTCATCCTGAGCATTGAGGCTGGGAAAGACAGAGGACACCACATAGAAAGGACACAGAAATTACGAAAGCTTAGACCATTTAGCTGCTTGAAACATGCCCAGAACTGTAACACTTACTACATACATCTTCTTTCAATTTCAAATTACCAACCTATGAAAAACTTAATGCTTCTATATTTACATATATTAAATGAGACATTATTTTATATTTGGGGGATATAATGCTTCCCTGACTCCAAAAAACTTTCACATAAAAAGCCCAAGGCTAAATGTAGGATACTGACCTTTGAGTTGTTGGCTGGGGTGCTATATTCCCCCCAAACTATACAGGCTACTGACAGTGTTGTTGGTCAACTACCAGATTTGATTGTAATAGCCTATTACTGAAGACACAGAGAAATCGAGCTGGTATTACTTAGAAGCTTCCCTCTACTTGTTAGCCTTTATAGTGATAAAAGATGCTACACACACAGGCTGCCAAGGGAAGAGAGTCACAGATTTAACTCAGATGTGAAGCCTACTATCTTACAATAATAACCCAAGCTGGCAAGGTGGGCTCACTAATAAATTGGTGTCATCCATTTTATGGAGTAAGTAACCGCTTTCTGACTGGTTTTAAGGTTCACTCCACAGATAGAATTCAAACCTAGTACGGTAAATTTGAATAAGAACCTGCTGGAGGGTAGGGGGTCACACAGGAAGAACCTACTACTATAATTTTCCTAAGTAGCAACAAACCACCTTCTGGATACTTATCTATATATCGACAGCTCAATTCAGCACTCAGTCCTCCTCAGAGAGGCTTCTTTTTGCAGGGGACAGCAAAGACTCAAGAGTTGGTCGAGTGTAGAGAATGAGCCACTGCACAATGCTCAGCCCTAAATGAGGCATCTGCATCACTTGCCCTCCCCCACATGACTTTCAGAGCATCAAGGAAGAGGGGGCAGAAAGGATATAAAAGCTAGAGTCTGGGAAGGCCTGCTGCAAAGCAGTGTTTTCTGGATATGGCAGGGCAGTTGTACTCATGAACTCAAAACAGCTGTGGCTGCCTGCATAAAACCGGCACATGATCAAGCCAGTCAAAATTCCAGCACAAACGAGGCAGGTGCTACTATGTGTATGCTTAGATGCATGAAAGTGTCATTAAACATAAGCAATATTCTCTCCCCTTTGGTATTTTAAATACATCTAGACAGAAAACTGTCCTTAATTTTGTATCTTGCTCACATTATTCTCTGTATTGTCAAGTTATTAGCAACTTCATAAAAATACCAGGTATGCTCCTCTAGGTCTAGCCTGGTAAGTGTAGTCATCACCCCTCATAAAGGAAAGTTCTCTCTGCAATGGACAGAGACCACTACAGAAAACCACAACCTATGCATATGTAGAGCTGTGGAGCCCAGTTCCAATGGATGCATCTACAAACCTCCCACCCGCAAGGCTCACGGAACATTTGGAAAAGAAGGTAGTAAGGCTGCCAGAGCTAGAGGAGCAGAGGTTTGCTGTGAGACTGTGTCTACTAACATCAGAAACAACACTCATAAAGCCTCACCATGACTGCCCAATCACGAGCTGAACAAGAACAAAACCAACAGACATGCCAAAGTAGATGGGGAAGAGCCCAAGAGGCCTCAACACTATAAAAAGAACAAGCAACAGGGATACTGGGAACAGGAAAAATAATCTTCCCTAGGGAGGAGACAACAATTGGTATTCCAATACTAAATGGTCAGCTCTGAAAATACACATACAAGTAACATTAAGCAGACTGAGCAGTTTATATTTAGGAATGTATATGTATATACATATATGCAGGCAATAACAACTAATTAAAAATAAGGGCCATGAGTTTGAAAAAGAAGGGTATACAATAGAATTTGGTAGAAAAGGAGAAATGTAATTATATTACAATTTCAAAAATTTTCTAAGTGCAACAACAAAAAATTATTGTTACATCTTAAATTTAATTCAAAATTAAACAAAAGACATAAAAAGTACTTTTACAGCAGCATTGGTCATAATGGCTCCAAAATGAACAACTGTAATTAGAATGTTATTTGGCTATTTAAAAGACAAAAAAGGGGAGGCGAGGGGAAATACTGTTGTACCAACCAAGCAAAGAAGCTCAAAGCAATAATATACTAAATGAATACACACTGGGCATCCATTAGAGTTTCTGAAAATGGCAAAACCAGTGATAGGAAACAGAACAGTCGCTGACTGGGACTAGAGCGGGTGAAGGACTGATTTAAATGCTGCAAGAGAACTGTGATGATGGGCACTATGGGTGTGGCAGGGCTAACGGGCTGCCATGCTGAATAACCCATTGCACTGACAGGGGAATTTTACTGATGGAAACTGTGTCCAAAATACCCCCTTTTAAACAACATTTACAGAAATTTTTAAGACAGTTAAACTTGCAGTTTATAAAGTTAATTAGTAACTAGTTACAAGTTCATCAAGTTCATTAGCAAGTAAGTTATAGCTTTTGTTTTCTCAACTAACAAAAACTTTTAGGCAAGGTTCAGCCATTTTGAAATTTCCAGTAGGAAAAACAAAAAGCAAAAAACCACAAAACCCCCAGGTTTCAGACTCTTAAGGCTCAATCCACACAAAAGTTGAATATCTATATCTATATATCTATATCTATATCTATATCTATATCTATATCTAATCTATATCTATATCTATATCTATCTATCTATCTATCTATCTATCTATCTATATATAGAGAGAGGGGGGAGAGAGGGAGCTTTAAGTAGAGCCACCAATATAATACAATAGTTGCCCTTAAATATAAAGAATGCCTACATTAATGTAGTCTAAACAATGTTTAGAGCAAAATAGTATAAAATGAAATCCTTATCCTGTCAGCTGCTACTTGCTAAGTTCATAGTCATGCCCTGAGACATCTACCTGTTTAACACCAATATGGGAACAGAACAGCTCTGCCCTCAGAGAGGCACTCCTATTCATATCCAGCGCTCTAATCCCCCCCTTAAAACTTCTTTTATTGAGCTATACATTCTCCCCCACTCCCCTTCCCTCCTCCCTCTAATGCCCTTCTTAAGATGGATACTCCCAGCTCTGCATCCAGAACCTCATCCTCACCCTAAGCCTGCATCATCTTATTTATAGTCACATGGAACTGTCTGACGGCTTTTTTTTTTTTTACTCAATATGCAATATTCACCTTCCTATTATGAAAGGTATGTGTGTACTCCTACATGAAATACAGATATATATTCTAAAGGAAAGCCTCACACTGGCATAGCAAACACCCAGTATTTGTACTTCTCTTAATGATTTAATCGATTTGCTTGAGATAAAATGTAAAGCTTCCCTTGAATCATTTTAATAGTGAATCTAAATTTGTTTTTTTATTCTGAGGGGGAAAACAAACAAAAACTATCATTATTGAAATTCCCTTGACTAACTCATTATCCTTTCAAGGTTGGTGGCTATTCACCTAGAATCACATACCTACAAAGACCCAATGTGGGCTAAACACAACTATTAATGCGCAAAGTCCTAGGTTCAATCTCCCATACTGAAAAAAAGAAAAAAAATTACAAAAAGTATAACAGCTATGACTTTTTTGAAACTAATAAGATCAATTATAAATCATGAAAATTTTCAAGACAAGATACTTACACATCTGCTAAAACAATCCGTGTCCGAGTCACATTCTCTATGGTAAATTTGGTTTTTCCTCCTTTGCCAGCAATTCTTCCTATTGCCCTTGACAGGTGATCTCCTTTTAGGGGCTTAACTAAAGAAGAAAGACAACATCAGGTGGCTAGCTTGAGTTTTTCTACTAAACAACACTAAATACACATTTATGAAGTGTTAGTAATACAGCTCAATTGAAGCTATCAGAAAACCACAGTCACAACACAATGCAACCAGAAACAAAGGCCAACTGTTCACACAAGACTACCACATGCTTCTCTCACCGTCGGTTATTTCAAAAGACTCTAGGAAGAGGTCATCCAACCTGATAAGGGCAAGTGCATCCTATGAAACAAAAGTAAACACCATCAAGGCCTTTTCAGTAGACACCTGACAGAGACAGCATTTTTGCAACTAAAGTTCAGACACTACAATGACAAGACTCAAAGGTTTGGAAAATGATCCTATCTATTGGAATGTCCACACTATGTGTTTCGATGTGAGAACACTCACCTCCACCTGAAACCCGAGAACAAAGGCTTTCACAAAGTCGGCTGCTTTTGTCAGGGAACTGACATCCTTGGTGTCTTTGCAAGTCTGAAAAGAGGTAACAGGTATGGAGGGGATGAAAAAGAAAGTATTCTATTAAATTACTAGAAATTATATTCTAAACCACTGTCCCTCAATCTAGTAAGATCTAGTAAGTGGGATAAGTGTTCTCTTTAATTTGTACAAGAGAACCTTCCTCCTCCAAATCTGGGCAAACCTAGGCAAACCCCTCAAATGAGGAAACATTCTATGACTGGTCTAGGTTAGTGGCAACACCTCTAGCATACCTCAAGGGCTCACACCCATTCTGTCCTCTTCTCCATCAAGGAAGACTTCCCCAAAGAGCCCTGACCTAAAGTTCTGTCTTAAAGGACCACTTATACGCTGTTGCTTCCCAAATCAACAACTCCAGTTCTGACTATTTACATGCCTGGTAATGAGGAAATCAGGAACAGCCTTAAATAGGAATCCTGTCTCCAAGTCATTTCTTGAACTACAGAAATAGCTGTTACTCATGGAACACCCACCACTGTAAATAATATGCTTTACACATCTAGCTCTATGCTTCACCTTGACAACAACTGAATGTTTTGTAATATAAACACTTATACGTGAAGAAATTAAGGTACTAAAAACCCAAACACAGTCTAATTTCTAGAATATTCATTCTGGTCTCCCACACAAATTTGCAATCCATCTGAAAAGACCACATCTTTGATAAACTTAAAAGCACACAGGATTGTATTAACAGGATTTTAACATTTAACAACATAACACAGCAGTGTAGGGGGACATATGCCTTTAAGCCCAGACCTTGCAGACCTCTTTGAGTTCCAGGCCAGTCAGGGATACATATCAAAACATAGCCTCAAAAAAATGAGTGAATAAACAAACAAAAAGACAAGCAAACAACAGAACTCTTGACTCTGGGTCCCACTGTGTATGTGGCTTTTGGCAAGTCCCAAAAATTTTCTAACATGCCAGCCTACAATATCCTAAACGGTCCCTTCTAGCACTACAATTCAATTACTAGATTGATTGACTCTTGGCATACCTGGGAGCTTGGGGGGGGGGGGGAGGTGTTGTGAACTATATCATATCTTAACAACCTAATGACATCTACTTCAAGCTAATACACTATGCATCTGTATGCAGCATCATCAACACATACTGAGAATACCAGCTAATGATCCTGCAATAGACAAGGTAGCTAAGCACAACAGAAATGTATAAACTTCCGAAGAGATCGTGCTTGAGCTAGACTCTGAAAGCTGTCTGGAATGGAAGCAGAAAGAGAATGGAGAAAACAGTCTTCTTCAGAGAGCAAAACCAGCAAAAGTACCAGCAGGGAAAAACGGGGAGAAACAATCATGACTCGGTCTCCTACTCAAAAGGCAGGGCTCAGTCAAGCATCTGGCTTTTATCCTTTGAAATGCTGGGGATGATAGAATATCAAATAGAAGCACTGTGACCTGGGAAAATTAATTTTGCAAGAAGGTCTACTGAAGGAGTGATTTAATGAGAAAAAATACATTAAGAATGTGTATTTCCTCGAACAAGAGTATCATTAAAATTTACAGGATTAACACTGTAAGTGGGTACCTGCAGTTACCACTTATTAATGTACATCCATGTACCATTGTCCACCTCTCATCAATCAATTATAGACGCATTATAGAAGGCAGTCACAGGATAAACAATATGCTGGCGTGATCTCAGAGCCAATTTAGGAATGCAATCAATACCTACGCTGAATATAGATAGGTATATCTATATTAAAACCCTGAAGAAAGCCACTTACTAGAATAAGCTCTATGAAGGGAAATACATTCATTTGTTTTCAGTTCTGAAGGAGAAAACTCAGTAGGCTGCGAAATAGCTACCCTTCTGCTCACCCTGATTTCCACATTCCTTGACTTCAGGTTAAAGCGTATCTGAAGTCCCAAGTGTTCTACGATCGGAGTAAATATCTTCATCCAGTTTTCTTTTAACGGTGTGTATCTGTTAGAGGGGACCGGGATTTTCCTTGTTTCTTCTTTCCCAGTCTGCAACAAAGCACACACACATTCAGGGGGTGACTGGAGACTTGCCAGCCGAGACTTAAAACCAGGACGGATCCTTCACCTGGACGCCCGGCCCCACCCCGTCCCGCCTCGGTTCCCACCAGGAGCTGCTCGCCCGACAGCGGCGGGAAGACCGGCCTCTTCGCCGGCCGCGCCTCCTCCGTGTCCATGCGGCTGGCGTCTCCGTCCTGTCCCGGCGCTGACGGCTGCTCTGCCTGTCGCTTCTTCGCCCGCCGGCCGCCTCTGTGCGTGACAGGAGTGAAGCCGTCCTCCGTGCCGGTGTTTTGCGTCTCCATCTCGGCCATGTTCGAACCGGGAGAACCCAACCAGCTGAACACGTGCGCGGTCGTACTGCGCACGCGCAAGCCTCCACCAATCAACGTGCAGGCACCGCCCCTTTCCTGAGGCGGGGCCTATTGCCCGGGGGCCTGAGGCGGGATTGGTCCGCGTGTCCGAATGGCTGCCCTACGATATGCCTGATTGTTTGGGTCGCCATACTTCCACGCGCTCACAGCTGAATCATTCTCAGCCTCTAATGTGTCTGTGTGAAAACGTCGTGGTAAGATCATTAAGTCAGCTTGTGCCGTGTGTGGAGAAGCAGCTGGTGCGGTCTCAGCAGCTCATCCGGCATTATCAGAGGCACCCAAGCCCAACTTACTAGAGCGTCCGGGTAGAGTGCGGCTAGGGAGGGACAAACTGCCCCTGCGATGTTTGCAGTCTGGTTTCCAGGTTAGCGTTTGCCTGCATCTGCACCATGTCCACGTTTGAGAAGCCTCAGATCATTGTCCATATTCAGAAGGGCCTCAATTACACGGTGTTCGACTGCAAATGGGTGCCCTGCAGTGCCAAGTTCGTCACGATGGGCAACTTCGCTCGGGGCACGGGCGTTATCCAGGTGTACGAGATCCAACGCGGGGACCTGAAACTGCTGCGGGAGGTGGGTGCAGGATTGGACTGCTGTTTGGGCGTGCGTGTTCTGGGGTCTGCATCACTCTTTGCCACAGCCTTGCTGCAACAGGACCAGAAAGGAGATTACAGACTGAGAGATACTTCGTACTTAAAACTTTGGCATCCCACAATCTCACTGGGGAACTAGTACCTTGGCTCACACTGCCAGCCCCTTCTCCCGCCATCCTTGGTGCATTACGTTGCAAGGTTTCTGGGAAGCGAAGTTCAGATTCTATGTTTACGTTCGAGGACCTTTTAGGCTGTTTGCAATTGCTGTATTCTGCTAGCGCGTATATGCAATAATGCACATTTCATGCAAGCAGAGTCAAGGAGGCACCAAGACACCTAACAACGAAGTTTGTAGAGATAACTAAATACCCTATTCTTTCTAGAAGTATCACTTGAATGTCCCAGGGATGTGAAGCTCAATCTCATGGATTTTATGGATTTTACTTTCTGTTGGGGATACAGTTAAACAGGCAAACCAAGAACGCATAGATGTAAATCAAAATAAGTTTTCTAATACACAGTTCAATGAGAGTAAAAACAACAGATTTAGGGCTAACAGAAACTAACTAGGGCAAAGTCAGAGTAGAGCATGAAATTTCTAGAAGAAACGGCATGAGAAAGCTCTTCGGTAGTGGTGGGAGGTAGTTTATTATCTTTAAAAAACAAAAACACACACTGGAAGTGGTGGTGCACACCTTTAATCCCAGCACTCAGGAGGTAGAAGCCTTTAATAATCCCAGTACTCAGGAGGTAGAAGCCGGAGAATTTCTGTTTGAGATCCTGTCTGAACAATCACAAAACCCACTAAGAAAGATCATACACATACAAGAGGGGTAAGTAGAGACCTTTGCAAGGCCTCTAAGACATTTAACAGATTTATTCTTCCTTTTCCTCTGAAACAGAAAAAAAAAAAAAAAAAAAAAAAAAAAAAAAGGACAAGACTGATGAACTTTTAGGAGGATGATGCAAGACCAGATTTACAGGTTTTGCAAAAGGCTGCCAGTGAGCCAATTACAAAATGATGAAAATAATTAACATTTCATTTTCTTTTTTGAGATGGGTATTCTCTGTGCTATCTGATTGGCCTCAAGTTCATAAATTTCATGCCAGCCCCCAACAGTGGGCTGGGATTACAGCCCATGTGCTATGGTGCTGAGCTGTGGCTAACAGTTTTATAGTTACTTACAGTTTTTAAACATGTTTTGATTTGGGTTGGCTGAAACAAATGACCAGTCTCTTTGAGTTGTTGAGGGTTGGTAAGTATGTGAAGAATTGGCTTCAAGTAGGTGAGTTTATGGCAGATATTGGACAAATAAACTTGCATGAGAAGATATATATGAAGTGCCATCTCTTGAGCCTTGCTGAGAGTCTGTTTTCAGATTTAGTTCCTACTCTAGCCAGGCATTCAGCTTGGAGAATCTAGACATGGCTTGGTCTTTTCTCTCTTGCAGTGTTCATCACGTAACTCACAGACACCTGTTGCTGTTCCAGTGGCCAGTTCAGATGCTGTGATCTGCACTCTTACAATACTGACCTTTTGTGCCAGAAATAAACAGATTCAGATTTCTGTAGATTGCAAGTTGGACACCAAGGACAGTGTCTCCTGGTGATTTGTAAGGACCAGCCACTCAGCGAGTATTTATTAAAAGAGTAGGAAATGAATGAACTTGGGAGTTTTAAATACTGGTGTAGGGTAAGGACTCTGGACATGGGAAACATTGGCATAACAGACTGAAGTGGGACGTTCAGAGCAAATGCAGGTCAGTACTGAGCTGGAAGCATGTCTACACTTGTGTTTTGTTTTCCCAAGCGTTGATACATGTATACATTTCAGTAATAGTTACTCCAAGTGAAATAGTTCTTCTCTTTTAATTTCTGAAGAATTCTAGCAAAATTAGAGAATATTTAGAAAATATAGGTAGGGCTTAGAGAGAGAGAGAGAGAGAGAATCACATATGATCTGAACCCCAGGAGTAACAACTTCTGTTTTGAATCCTCTTCATTCCATGAGTTTCTGAGACTCCTGTAGAGGTGCTCTGCCAAAACAGAACCACAGGTATTTGAATTGAACAGTTCTTTCTAAAAAGCATGTAAAACCTTAGAAACAAGGTGCCTTTCAGAACTTAATGTTACATTTGTTTGGGTGCTGCAGAAAAGCTAGCAGGTTGAATGCATGACCAGTGGCTGTCCTGTGTCCATGTTTGGTTACTAGGGAGAGCTATGTAGGTTTTAAAATATCTATGCCTTGTTCCTACCTAGCAATGTGAACTTCTGCTGGTTGAGTTTAGTGAGCACCATCGCTGAGAACTGTTGGACCTCGTGGATGACTTACTCATTTTGTTACGTTGAATTAGTGCAAGACTTTCTGTAAAGCCTATGCACCCAAGATACATGTAAAAGGAGCAAGTTGGCTATTTGCTCTCTTGGGCTTCATCTTATTGCTAAAGGATTGGATACAAATGGAGCACAGAAACCTGAGCAGTTTGGCACACATCATTAATACTTGGGAGGCAGAGGCAAGAAGATCTCTAAAAGTTTGAGAACAGACTGGTCTACATAGTGAGTTCCAGAACAGCCAGGGCTGCATAGTGAGATCCTGTCTCAAAAAACAAAAATTAAATAAGTGAAAAGGGTGGGTAGGAGGCTAGGGAGGTGATTCAGTGGTTGAGCACACTGGCTTCTCTTCCAGATGACCCAGGTTTGATTCCCAGCACCCAGATAGCAGCTCACAACTGTCTGTCTAACTACAGTTCTGGGGGCGCTGAGGTCTCTTCTAGTTTCCTTCACACCAATCGTGCTTCTAATGCACAGGCAAAATACCCATACAGAACATTTAAATAAATAAATGGATGGGGGGGGGGCTTCCTTCCTTAGCTGAATACTTTGTTGGGCCACCTAACAGTGTCTAGCCAAGTGTTCCTTCATCCTTCTTATATGAGACTTCAACTTTTCTAATGTACACACAGGTAATGTATGACAGAGAGAGCCCTGAAGGGGGAAAAAAAAACCAAATCCTGGTTGAAAGTTGGTAGTGAGCTAGTGGAGTTATGGTGTTTTATTGCCTGAGCTACTGATTTCACTGCTTGTTAACATTAGCCTGACTAAATCTTTCAATGTTAATTAAGTAGTGCCAGGATGTGGAGGAGGAAATACTGACAAGCTGCAGTAGACCCGCCCACAGGCAGAACGAAAATAGCTCTGTGGCAGTTATTGATCATGGACTTCTTTAGTCATGCTAACATATACTTCTGGCAAAGAATATAAAAAACTAGGCCAAGTAAGCTATTATTGATGGTCATGCTCAGTATCATACATTTATCAGTTTTATATGCTGATTTTTGTGGAAAATAATTTTAACCAAATAGATGGTTATTTTATTTTTAACCAATTAGTATTCTATCAAAGTTACCACTGAATTCTACTCAACTTTCCATAGGAAAACAATATTTAACAGTGTTGGAAAGTGAGTCCTCTTGTGTGCTGTATGAATCTGTGTGTTCAGTGTCCCCTTGCTTACTGATTTCTGTAAATAAGAGCTGAGGAAACATGACTGGTCTCTGAAGTCCAGGTACAACAGAGCTCAGCCTCCTGAGCAAAGCGTTTTTTGAGTTTAATTCTTGAACAATAAACTAGTAATACTTAAGTTTTGTTTTGTTTTGTTTTGGATACAGAAACCCCGAGGAAAGTATGTATTTATCTTGAAAAAAAAAAAAAAAAAAAAAAAGAATGGGAGTTAATCTGAAATTAGTTTTCATTCATTCCTTCACCATTTTGTTCACTTTTCTAGGCTTAGAATTTTTTTTTTTTTTTTTTTTGATTCTTCTATTGACTCAGACTTGCACAATGGGTCTGTGTAATGAAATGTTTGTTGGAATCACATACTGGTCTGAAGGCAGCATTCCTTAGGGAAAAGAGCTTGAAGTCTGCCCGACGCTTGGTTATGAGTAAGAGCCATCACTTCTCATTTTGAAATGGTATCCCTGGGACTGCGTGTATGCTTAGGGAGTACTTGTACAGACGTGAGGTCATGAGTTTTAATCTGCAGTGACTGTATAAAAAGCCAGGCACATCTGTAAACATGTAACTTCCGGCTTCTGAGGGCACTGCATACACATGGTGCATGGACACACGTAAAGACAAAACTCCTGTACACATAGAAATAAATAGACTCCATTCCCAATCCAAAAGAAAAACAGCTAGATGTGGTGGTGCCTGCCTTTAATCCTGGCACTCAGAAGGTAGTGACCTAGGACCTCCAAGTTCAAAGCCAGCCAAGGCTACATAGTAAGGCCCTGTCTCAAGACAAAACTTTTCTTTTTGGTAGTGATATGCTTTTTACATTATATAAACTTGACTAAAGAAAGAATACAATAATTTTTATC